CCTACTGAAAAAAATTTTTTATGAATTCTACTTTTCGATTTTTGGAAAAATAAAAATTCCAAAGGTCTCCACAGCATGGCTGTTCGAAAACGATGCTGCTATCATTGCGCAGTGTATGAAAACAGAAAAGCCTTTCGTGTTTTTGTACATATGCAAATTGCAAAAGCGCATATTGCAACAACCCTGTTTGTATCTGTATGTTTGTGTGCGTGTGTATGTGTGTGTTCGTCCTCCGGGTATTTCAACTCGACAACCAAGCAAGCTCCGGCGCCAAAATTTTGCCAATTGGTTTTTCCTGAGCTCCAAGAGCTAGTATGTCACAATTTCTAGCTGTTGGATTTCCCCGAGCGATCTCTCTACAGCACGAAATACTGCAAAAACGCATGACTGCATCGGCCTGTCTGGTGCGTGTCGCCAATGATTTTTTAACAAGCATTCTTTATTTTTTGCAAGAATTCAAACAAAAAAGGAAAACAAAAAACTGAGTGTACCAGAGAATCGATTGAAACAGCACCGAGACCACCAACATTAATAATACCGGTAACAATAACAACGAAAATTTTTTCAACGACAATAACAAAGTACTAAAAAAAATCGCTTTTTTTCGACCGACTTCATCCGATCACCGGTAGCAGACTTGGCAGTATAACTCTGCGGAATGCTGAAAATGCCTCGGACGATTTTTGATGCGTTGCTTCGATACGGAATCCGGTTCACTTGAATTTTCCACGAATCATGAATCTGAGACCAATTTATGGAATCCTGACTTTTTTACGCTATCATACCTTTGATTTTTCTCGCGATTATACCTTTTTCTTTTACTGGTGACTTGAGATTCATGATTATCTCTGGAAAAAAGTACGCCCCAAATCATTTCTGGAGGCGAACGGGAGGTAATCCTAACCTACTTCATCTATTAGGAGGTAAACCTAACTCCAAATTTTGATATAACTCGAAACTACACATAAAATGTACAAAAAAAGCGCCTAAAAAATGAATAGAAAATTGATAAAAATGAAAAATTCCTATTTTCCCAGAAGTTACGATTTTTCTGGATAATGCAAGACTGTGGGCATAACGAAGTTCCCCTAACCTTTTCCTTAATAAATGTAATCCAGGTAAGCAGCTAGAAGTATGAAAAGATTAATCCCAGTTTCGGGATCGTTCTGTCCGTAAAGAGTACATTAATTATGCAAACCCTTTTCGATATTTGCATTGAAATAAAGCCCCGTTTACTATTGACGGCCTTGGCGTACTCCTGATATTATGAAAAATGGCAGTTAACTATGCTATGCATAATATTAGATCCATACTTCTCATACTCAAAATAACTTTTCCTGGCTTATTCAAAATATTGAGCTTCCTTATAAAGTGATTCGCAAAATTAACCTCTTTGCAGGTACTGAAACAATAAAAATGCGATAACAGTTTCGGATTGCCGGCAAAATTTCCCGCAAAATCACTCGTTCCATCGTGAATTAAATCAAATATATAATTATTAAATATATTAACAGGTAGTTCTGTTTCAATGTTAAAAAATCTTGAAAACAACAACCCGTACATCACCAGGATCATCAAGATCACTGGGATCCTGATGATCGGAGAACTTCACTTGTACACTGTAATATTGAGTGAAAACGAAAAATTCGTGAAAACTATCTTGAGTTCCGTTATAAATTTTAAAAAAAAGCACTTCCGGAAACAACACACAGAAGGGGTGGGGGGTTCAGTAACAACCGCATTTTCATAATTTCGGTAAGAACCAGGAATAATCTCTTAGTCGTAGATATGAGAAAATAATGAAACATTATCGCTGGCTACTACTTGCAGAAGATGAACAATTGCCGTGCAGTTTAGTCAGAGGCGCAGAAGAAGTCAGGTATAAAGAAACCTGTGCGACTCCGTGAAAGTTTTGGTGGAGAAAATTATTATTTCGGGAACCAGAAGAGCTGCGAGGATGCCGAAATTTCAGGAGAATGTTTTCTGCCTATGCCTCGCTAACTCAAGTTTATCTCCCAAATGTGCCAGGCCTTACGTGCGATTACATTAGTTTTGAAGCGAAAGTACTGGTCAAGAAGGTGCACAGGAAAAGCTTGGTCAACAGAATAGGAAAACTGAAAGGGACGAACTAAAATCCGCAATATGTGGAAGCATTATTGAAAAATCCTAGAAATAGCCAGACCAATCAAGAAAAAAAGTAGAGCAGCTCAAGTAACTTATAAAGAAAAATCAAAAAATAAAAAAAGGCTGCAAGAGACTAAAAAATTACGGAAAACCAAAAAGAAAAAACAAATATTTGCAAAATTTGGACGAAAAAAAGAGTCCTTGTGGATGTTTCCGGAAGTGTTTTTTGGATAGTAATTACTCTCGAATGCTTTTTGTGAATGTCAAGGAACGCTTAGTTATTGCAAAGCGGATGGAAAAATCAACCTGAGCATTCGGTATTCAAATTCGAATTTTCGATATTCAAATTTATTCATTAAAAAAAATTTTTAAAAATCCACGAAAGAGAAAATGACGTTAAACTGATGACAGCATGACAGTATGGAACTTATTCCGAAAATGCACAACGATCAAGATAGATAGAATGTTAAAGAGCAAATACTAGTAAAGTAGAAGTAAACAGGTGTGAAAAATATGCAAAAGCTGCTCAAGGTAATAATTCAGTGTGAGTAAGGGAATACCACTGAAGAAACACAATAACAATGCAATAAAACTATATGGAATAGCAAAATCGTTCAAACTGAAAAATACTGAAGAAACCACTTGGGTGAATCCAAGGAAATCGTCTTGGGGCCAATAATTTTCAAAAAACTGGCCAAATTTTGGGGTTTTAAGCCAAAAAAAATAGGTTTTCGTCAAAATCTGAGTCTGAAACTCAGACAGCCACGAAATTCAAATAAATCCTTTTCGGCCATCAATCGTGGCTTTTTGGTACCATCAAGCAAATAAATCCTTTTTGGTACCATCAATCTCATCTGAAGCCCAAATCCTAGCCAAAAAAAGAGCGGGAGGGGATAAATCCACAAAAAAGCCAGGGGATCAAGGAAATACATGGCAAATTCAAATTTTCCTGATCGGCCAAGCTGCTGGTGCAGGCAGGAAGCACCGCTGTTAACTCGAAATACAACCAAACGTCGCATGATACAATAAATCATTATTTCTTATTAAAACAACTGTTTTAAAATTTTTGATAAAAAAACAAAAAGAAAAAATTAGACGCCAAGTTTGGATGGTTATGAATATGCATGTAGGAAAAAATACGATTATTTTGAATAAAAAATGATAAATTTAATTGATTTTTGAGTTTTAGCTTAAGAAAATTTCAAGGGTATCGCAAAAACGTGGGACGAAGTTGCATAAATCGGGAGCTAGACTATGAAATAAACTGAATTAAAAAAAAAAGTAAAAGACAAAAATATATTTATCGGATTCGAAATCAAAAAAATGCCTAAATTTAAAAAAAAAAGAACTTTGGAACGAAAAACACGTAATTAAAAAAAAAATCAAGTAAAAAAAAATAACTTGAAATGAATTTTTATTTGAAGTTTGAAGATTTGTAAAAAATATTTCTATGACCTAACATGTGAAATTCACTCATTTGTAGCATGCTTTTTTGCGTTGAGGGAAAAATGAAAAGCGTTTGTTAAAATTAACAAAAACAGGAAAAAAAACCTCTCCATCTTGCCACCCAAATTTTATTATTTGCTGCTGAAACTGGCAAGATATTCCAGTGGTACCGAAAGAACATTTCGAGAATTGACGGCAGTTGTCGGACGAGTTTTCATGGAGCTCTGAATAATTTGTAATAAAATTCGAAAAAAAAAGCCAAAAAATCAACTTTTCTAATTTTATAGGTCTAAACCCCTCGGCTACCGTTTCATCCAGAAAACCCGTTAATTAATCGGCAGTAACCCCCACGGTCAGCTTATAAATATGAAGCAAGCAGATTAGCCCAAAATTCGCCTTATTTTTCTTAATCGCCTTTTCTTGCGCAGGAAAATGGTTTTCACCGAAACATTTCTTACCATTATCATAATTTCATTAAAAATAATTTTGTTACTTTTTTACCAACTTCTTAAGATTATTTTTTCTTCGACTCTCCTTTCCATTTCAAAATACCTTTCTATTTCAATTTTCTCCAGCTGCTGGCTATCTTTCTTTCGGCTGAATTGCCCGAAACGTTCTAAATTTCGTACCTTAAGTCACATGAATTCGGTTTTTAATCATATTTTGAATACTGCGACTTTTCAAAATGGCTCGAATCCGGTAAATTAGGGAGCTAGCAAAATTAGCTTATTGGATTTTGCTCAGTTTATCAACAATTGCCGGAACGGACAGTTTTGTTAGGTTTTGAAGAAATACAGTGAGCTCTGAAGCATCGAGAAAGCAAAAACCAACAAATCTCGCAACTTCATACTCTCCGGTTGATTATAATACACCTTTTTTTTTTATATTTTTGCATTTTTCTTAAAATTTCCCAGTGAAAAAACCCAGAACAGCTGTACTCGGTTTACCGTTAATGAAAATTGCGGATTCGTATCGACTACCCCAAACAAAATCGTAGCAAAAAAAACAAAAAAGACAAACCTGTATCGAGCCTCCAGCAATAACAAAACCATCGCTTGAGCTGCTCTCTCGAGTTTCAGTCTAAAACTAAGGAACATGATGGAGCTCCAGAAGTAAAACACAAGTTTTTTTTCTTAAAAAATTACAAATTAGAAGAAAAAGCAATGGAGCGAAGAATGCTTGACGCCTCTATCCGCCACAGTCAAAGCAAATAGGCCTTCCGCGGATCAGCGGCGTGCAGTATATCATTACGACCATGCAATAAAGTAAAATCATCCGATGTGTAAGGCATGTTTTTCGCCCTGCTGATAAGCAATAGGCTCGGATATCGATAAGTGGTAGCTAAAAGGAAAAAAAATGGCCGGCCAAAGTGAGTGATTTTCAAAATGGTGCACAAACCGAAACGCAGGCATTAACTGGAGGTGTGCAATCCACGATCGAACCAATCTAAAATATAAGGCTGGAATGCACCAGGCTTGACGGTGCGATCAGCACTTTTGCACCAGACTTGAAGTACACTCACCTCCTAAGTTTCAGCCTTCTAGCTTTTTTGGTTCTCGAATTGAAAGTGGATGAAAAAAACTGGTATATACAGACGCACACACGTGCACACAGCCTCTTCCCT